TATCGTCAATCTTAATACGAGAAAACTAATGAGATTTAGCCAAGTAATCGACAGAAATTGAATAGAAATTATTAACGTCGCATTTGTATTAGTTTCACATAACTTTAAGGCGAATACTGACATAGCTAGACCAGAGACGTATATTTTACGTCTCTGGCTAGACGACCTGATACATGTCCTAAATAATGTTCAGGCTGTTTAAATGGACTAAATGTGGCGAAATAATAACAACAGGTAGCGCATAGGTCGGTAAACGCGTGTGTCGAGTTAGGGTGAGATTAGGTACGAATATTACAATACACCCGGGAGAAGTAAACACAAACACAGGTAGCCGACAGGTGTTGCTATTGTAGTGGCCAGATGAACTATCGCATGTTATCTTTAGGTGATCAGTTTCCCCAGATGCAATACACATTCCTTCTGCAGTGATCAATGACCATGATAAAAAAAATATATTTGTTCACTAGTCGTTTCGATCCACACGAAAGAACTGTATAATGGGAACAGTGAGCGCTGTGTGGTAGTGTATAAGTACGTGATGTCTTATATAGGGTACTGATTCGTGTGACCGACCAGAAAAACAGGTTTTCTAAATCGGTTTTAGAGTGATAGGAAAACATTACACATTCATAAATCCTAGTTGTATTAGTCAGTTCGTAACCTATGGACTTATTCAGGGGACACGAAGTATATGTTGTTTACAGAAGAATTTAATGAATAATAAAAGTACGTGGGTACGGTATGACACAATGAGAAAATGACGAATATACCTATATCATCGACACTGTAGGTAGCTTATAAATACCACTGAAGTTTAAGAGCATTTTAATGTAAGATGAATACAGTATATTACTAATACCCACGTGTTTTAACGATGATACATACATTACAAATATCTTTTAATAATGGCCTTCATATTAAAATATTTACTGAATTAAACATCTTTACAGTAAACAACATATTTAAGAATACATGTAAAACATCCTTATACTTTCAACATCTGACAGAAAAATAACAATATACAGTGTACATACAGTAAACAACCTTTATGTCGAATGGTTCGCACCTATCAGTCAAGTAGCAAGCTATGTAATAGTACAATAGTCAATAAAAAAACCAGGAAGACTTAATGATTGAAAATGGCCGTCCCAAAGTATTTTCAAGACGAGGTTCGGCCATTTAACGTGACATATTACACTAGCGGGCAGCCCCTCAACATTGAGTCCCCCGATACAGAATTTTCATAATATTTAAGAGATAGTTTGTTTTCAACATTACATAATTACATATAAACAAACAGCATGTTTTTGCTAAATAGACGGTATTGTGCGATGAATGAATGAATAGCTAACAGTTCTATTTTTCCCTTTACGAGGCAGACTATATTACAAAAAGTAACCTTATGTTTGGCTTATTAAATAAATAAACCTAATATTATATCCCGCTGACCGTGACGTGTTATGATGCCTACCTAGTGCTCTACCTGGAGCCTTGCTCACCATATGTCTGTTATGTGTAATAAGATGTGAGGATTTATATATATAAAAAGAAATTTGTATACGAAAAACTGATAATGGCGGTTTATTTTTATTTTTATTTTTTTTAGCTTAAAATAAAACACATACTTGCTCTTTTGTATGCTCATGGGTAAAAGATGGAATTTCAAACGACTCGAGGAATAAATATTGAAGTCTCTCCGAGTAGTGTATTTGTCGTCAGGTCACATCTACCCAGACAATCAAAAAAGGTTTCGTTGTTGCAACTCCGTCATAACAAATAAACCTCAAGAGCAGAAGAGGCTGAAATGTTATTATTGAGTGAAGGAAAATTTACGATTATGATATTAAAGTCGACCCGTTTGTTATATTTACAAAGAGTTTGGTTGAGAGGTGACTTTTCTTGTCATACTATAGGTAGAACCTTAAGTGAGAGATGAACGCAACACACACACAGGCGATTGTACCTTTAAAATTGGGTAATACAATAGTTTGTCAAAAATGAAAAACACTGCAGCATATAGCTGTTTCGTCCTTCTAGGACTTATCAGTGATGGTAGGGGCCAAAAGGTCGGAAATCCAAATGGTCAAAACTCCTGTTGAAACAGAGGGATAGGTGTGTAAAACCACTTAATTTATGAATTAAGCAATTTAGAGGCGTACTAGAGTGAAAGGGTCTGTGGAAGTCGTGAAAAACATGTTATTTCAGAACAAAACAGATTTAAGACATTGCTCTTGCTTGATATATAGGTAAGTACTGATACACTGAAAATACGCATGAAATTGAGTTTTCTCGTGGACATTTTGTGTTGCAAGGGAGATAACACTCTTTACTCTCTCTTGAATGTCTGCTAAACAAAGCATGACATGAAACTAAAACAACATAACAATTGAACAAAATAACACGGTGCCGAGTTAAATAAACAACAGAACAACGTGATGGCGTTAAATGGTTTGTACAGAGAAAATATTGTGGTTAAACACTGATTAATTGTTAAAAAGTAAGCACGATTGTATAAAGTCTGTGTAACGTAATAGATACCTACAAAACAATTTATACATATGAAAAGTTTAAAAAAAAATCCGAAACACATAGATCTGTAAAGCATTTGCGCTTTCATGATCAATCTTCAGACGTTTTACACATAGATACAGTACATAAATATATAAGTTCTGACGTCATTAATAAAATGTTGATAATGAAAGCGCTAATGCTTTACATATCTACGTGTTTCTTAATGGTAAGTGGGGGATTATGAAAAGGTTTTGAAAATATCATAAATACATGAAAGTGTTAATGACCTTGATTTTGTCTTAACTTTTTAATGTAATTTTTCAGGAACTTATTTGATTAAAAAGAAATTAATAATAATGTCAAGTTAATAAAATAGTTAAGATAATACAAGGTCAACAAGTGAAGTTTTGAATAAAATTGAATAGGAATCAATACCATTGCCATGTGAAATTTATCAAAGATTATAATCATCAATATATAAATTCATATAATGATTCTAAGGATATATAGTTAGAATAAACACGCTTACATTCTATAAAATAGCAACAATCGTATTGAAACCATAATACAAAAATGTATGTTATCCCTTATAACACATTATCACCCTCTTTTGAGTTTTATCAATATGATTCTCACACCTAATTGTCAATACATATATAGACGATAAACTGCCCAATACAAGTAATATTTTATACATGCAAATAATACACACTGCTTAATATGGTTTCAGTGACTGACATTTCCACTTTTCTCTGGGACCTTTTGGCGATTGCTTGATGAATTTTGAATCTGACGTGCTAGTACGCTGAGAGTAGCAGTTTTTAACTTCATATTCATGAAGAAATCGACCAAAAGTGAGTCCACGAGAAAGGTAGAACACACAATTGTATTGTTTCGAGTACGCACGTGGTATCATCCTCGATATCCAGGGATTACGCTCACTAACCCTCGCTCTCTGCTCCTCTGAAATATGTCATAGCAAAATTGAAGGCATGCGGCTAGCTATTTGATTGGTTTCAGGTAAAAAAACCAACCCGAACCAATCGCTAGGCTGATTCCTATCCTTTGAAGATTACAGAGGGCCGACACCCGACAGTCAATTTTACCGTTACGCAACCGTCAGATTCTTTTGATGTACATCAAAGGATCAAACTAGTCTTCCCATCTCATCCACAAGGTGCTGCACATTGAGCCTTCGATTTTGCTATGACATATTCCAGGGGTGCTTCGTAGTCATGAAGAAATCGACCCAAAGTGAGTCCACGAGAAAAGTAGAACACACAATTGTATTGTTTCGAGTACGTACGTGGTATCAAACTCGATACTCCAGGGATTTCGTTCACTTTTACATTCTGCACTCCTGGAATATATCAAAGCAAAATTGGAGGCACGCGGCTAGCTATTTGATTGGTTTCAGGTAAAACTAGAAAATGTCTGTAAGACACAAATGTCCCCACTCATGGATGGGACGGGACGCGACGCGACGGGACGGGACGGACATGGGCAACAAGTATATGCCTCCCCCTCCATTTATGGCGGGGGCATACAAAAACCCGAACCAATCGTTAGGATGATAACTGTCCTTTGAAGATTACAGATGGCCGACACCCGACTTCAAAGACAGTCAATTTTACCGTTACGCAACCGTCAGATTCTTTTAATGTGCATCAAAGGATCAAATAAGTCTTACCATCTCATCCACAAATTGGCGCACACTGAACCTTCCATTTTGCTATGACATATATTCCAGGGGTGCAGAGAGCGAAAGTGAGCGTAGCCCCTGGAGTATTGAGGATGACGTGTATTGACAAAGTAACTAACATATGTATATATTACATTTCTTTTTACATTTTCATAACTTGCAGGTCAATAAAGATAACCCACCCTAAACTAATCACTACAGACAATTTTCAATGCTCTTCCTTTTTCGTTTGTGGTCACGCCCTTCATCTGACCGTGTATTTTAATGATACAGTGAAAACCTACTTACCCGAACTCGCACAACTCGAATACCCCCTATTCCTCGAACAGTTCGCTTGGTCCGACCGTGTTCTTATGTATTCTTCGTAAATTAACTTAACGAACAGTCGTTGCTCAGAATTTTTATATCTTCCGCAGTATGGACAAAGAAGAACTCCAAATATCCTACCATTTATGCAATTGACTTAAAGTGAGACCTAAGATTATTTATTACAAAGCTGAGTGTCAAAAGTTACAATGACATCACAGTGATACAAGCATATATTCATCACACATTTTAAAAGTATGAAGGCAAGACCATAATAACGGGACAAATTTACCTTGTCATAAAGTCATGCATTTTGTATAGAAAAAAATAAGGTATAACGACCGAATTCAAAGCTAACAGCATTCTCCTTTCGCAAGGCTTTTCATGATCAGGTCTTCAAAACCTGAAAAGTCATGTGAAGGGTGACAGTTAGTAGTTTTGAAGTCGGTCGTTTTACCTGATTTTTCTTTATATTATAGTAGATAACAAAGAAACAAGTTTTTATGAAGGAAAATATAAAATAAAGCAACAAGTACACAAGACTGACCGCTAGGCGTCTCTGCCTTCTTTGGCTCGTTTCCAGTTGGTCAGCTAGTTACTCCAAATAGACCAGCTAAATACTCCGGCAAATAGACCAGACTATTATATCGTATAAACCAGTTTATTCTTCCAAATTAACCAGATGATATAATAGACTAGCTAGTTCATCCAAACTATCATGTCTTTCACAAGCGATAGTCATGATATATAAGGGAAAATCTCTGCCTTCTTTGGCTTGTTCCCAGTTGGTCAGCTAGTTACTCCGAACGGACCAGCAAAACACTCCAAATAGACCAGATTAATCTTTCATATTGACCAAATAATATAAAAGACTAGCTCATTCATCAAAACTATCATGTCTTTCACAAGCGATGATTTGTAAGGGAAAATATCAAGATACATTCTACGCTTGTTTCCATTTAGTCAGCTGGTTTCTCTGAATGGATCAGTTGAACATTCCAAACAGACCAGCTAAACGATCCAAGTAGACCAGATAATACAATAGACTAGCTAAACGATCCAAGTAGACCAGATAATACAATAGACCAGCTAAACGATCCAGGTAGATCAGATAATACGATAGACTAGCTAATTCCTAAATATCATGATATGTAAGAGAAAATCTGTGAGATTTCCTCTCAACTTCTTAAGAGTCACTCGCAACCGATGGTTCGATTTCAAACAGCTTAATATTCAGTCAGAGTCGGCAACATCGGTATCAGTCATTGTGAACCAACAAGGCTACTGAGGATTTGAACTACCTTGCGACTGTTCGGTCTCTTGTTCGGCTGTACCTCAAGGCAACTTTTGATAACCGCCTTGAACTCCCCTTTCGACACCTCTCGAATGGATGGAGGTTCACCAGGATTGCACGTGATTTTCCTACAATGCCACAGTTCCCAGATCACCAGACCGAGGCTGTATACGTCAGACATGGTGCTATGTCTTGCTGCTTGTCCGAAAAGTTCGGGAGCATAATACGCCGCGTTTCTTTGATCTGACGCTGTTGTGACGGGTACGAATTCTTCTTTCACGTGTCCAAAATCACAGATTTTTACAATATCTTCTCCACTGTCCTGGTTTCGGTAAACCTGAAACGTAATATGGACCGTTAACAACGAAAACAATTATGGATGTGGATATGATACTGCTATACAACGTATATAGAACATCTAATGTTTTTACTAACTGAGGTAACCGCAAATGAAACCTCCACCAATACACAATAAAATGAACTAAAATTTGAAAGGAAAGGAAAGTTACATATATATAGTATTTTGTATGTGACTACTTACCACATGGTGATGAGATGTGACTACTTACCACATGATGAATGGGGTGTGACAACTTACCAAATGATGATTAGATGTGACTACTTACCACATGATGATGGGGTGTGATTACTTACCACATGATAATGAGATGTGTGACTACTTACCACATGATGATGATGGGGTGTGACTACTTACCACATGATGATGATGGGGTGTGACTACTTACCACATGATGATGGGGTGTGACTACTTACCACACGATGATGTGGTGTGTCTATTTACCACACGATGATTGGGTGTGTCTATTTACCACACTATGATGAGATGTTAATACTTACCAATTGATGATGGGGTGTGTTTACTTACCACATGATGATGAGATTTGACTACTTACTAAAAAATGACGAGGTTTGACTTCCTGGTGGATGTACCCATTCCGATGTAAATATTCCAATCCTCTTGCAGCACCGAGGGCAAACTGTAGTCGCTTCTCCCAGCCGATTTGGCTTCTTTCTAGATCCATGATGACTTCATCCAAATTCTTATCAGCTTTATCCATCAGAATGGCCAATATCTGCTCGCCTCCTTCGATCCAAGACGAAGACCCTCGGAACATCACACAGTTTTTACTGTCCTTTCTAGACAGTGACCTATGAATATACAAAAACTACATTTTTTAATGAACTGCCACATTTGATTGTAAAGATGAAGTAGACATGATACTAAAGCATGGACATGTAATGGCAACCTTGAAAATATGCAAGCAATGGATAACGGAAAGACAACATGAAACTCAATTACAATGTACATTTGTGGTTAAATGTTGCATGCGATCAAACAAACTTATCATGACGATAGAATGCAAAGTTCCTTTCATAATAACATAGTTTACCTTTTCATTTTTACATCTGATGCTTCTTCGATACATATTTGAAAAACAATATTTTTACTGATTTCATATAATTGTATGGATAAGCTTCACATAGACAAACCTCATAATGACAAGTTCTCTGTAGACGTTGTGGTTCTGTGGAAGACATGTAAGCATTGGTCCACCATTATGCAGTACTGATTTCACGCGTTTCCTTGCAAGAACTTTGGTACTTGAGTTGTTTGTAACCTGTACAACGTCTACAGTTGCGCTTACTCCATGAATGACACGCTGACCTTCTTCACCAGTGACACGCTGAAATTCGTCAAATAAAAATTTGTGCTTTAACACCTTCTGAGTATAAATTTCCCAAAGTTTTTTCAAAGATGCATCGAATTTTACCAGTTTTCGTTCCTCCCTGCTTCTGTTTTGCTTGAACTCAAACGATAGAATCTCCTGTCTGATTTGTTGCTGTGAAATTATAAAGTTGGTTTCCTGTTCAATCGCAGCCTGTGCTTGCTGAAAAAAGTATTCTGTTCGTTGTGATATTTTGTGGTTTATTGGGTCAGAAACGGCAATCTCAATTTCTTCTGTCAAGCTTCTCCCAAATAGAAAGATGGATGCCAATGGTATAGTAACAAGTGTTGCTATGGTATTCAGTACGTCATTCATGTTCAAAGTTTGTTGACACTGCTGCTCCAAACATTCCACAAGTTTCACGTTTTTCTTTAGTCGTGTTCTATGCTGATCAAGAAAGGTTTTCAGCTCGGAATCGAAATCCTCCCTAATCGTTTGTTCTTCTTTGTCCTTTGTCACCGACCTCAGCCTTTGGGCTAAGTCAGTAGTACTGCCACCAATTTGCTGTTTAATGTGTTCTCTGAGCTTGCCCTGGCTCTTTTTTGCTTCTTCCATTATGTGTTTATAAAAAGAAGAGTTCTTATCCTCTATTATGCCCAGTTCTTTCTCAAGGAAACCATTGTCCTGCTCTGCGTAGTCCTTTATTTTTTGGAGACTCATATTATATGGCAACCAGTTAACGCTCGTGTCAAAGAACGCGTTAATGACCTCCAGTAAATTGATGAGCCACCTGAAAGTAACGAAACGCAATTTCTTACATCAAAGCACGTATATATACTATATATTTTTTTATCGTAAGAGTTACAAAAAGTATAAACAATGCAGACAAATGAAACCATATTAAATGTTAACAATTGTCTAACCCTACCATTACATAGTATTATCAATCTGAGAATGTTTGTATTTTTTACCATCTTATTTATTGTAAACTCGTATAAAATACAAATGGCACTGTATTTGGCCAAGTTATGCAGTTAATGATAATTTAAAATTGTGATTATATGTTTTTTTTTTATTTCATACCATTTATTTTACTGTTCTTCAAAATAAACAATGTTGTTACATAAATAAATAATTAATATGTGAAACAAAGATGTGCTTATTTAAGCGCATTTAATATATGTAAAACAAAGATGTGCATTTTCTTTTTTATAGTATAAGTACAAATGAGAGATGGCTTAATATAAGAGCCTACTCTTGTTGCCAGATCCCTAATATTACATTATGTAAAATTATATATTATGTACAGCATATTTGTAAATAAAATTTTGTTTATACCAAGTACAAAAAGATGCTCATTCTACCAAACACAAAAACGTACATACAAATAGTGTTCTTCTAAATTCACCCGATGAGCAGCTTCCATGAAGTCCCGAATCTTTCTCTTGAAAGGTTCCATGCTCTCTTCTCCAGACTTTATCTAAAAATATATATATATTTTTAAGTCGATATTCGAGCTCTGTTTTAGACTCTTCGAATATTTGTAAAAAATCTCTTGTTACATAAATGACAAGTACGGGCTATATTTATACCAAAATCACAGTCTACATACTAACCAGGATTTTGCACATCGATATAAAAGTTTGAATATTACTGGTATACAGCTACGGGATAAATTATAATTGGTATCTTAGTTTATTTAAAGTGGCCAGGCCAAGTTATTTAAGATGAGGGTTTTCCAAAATGGAAGAACCAAAACATCTTTTTGTTCATTTATGGTTATATCGAAGGAAACATATCAAGTTTAGGAACAGGGTTCATATAAAATGTTCACAGAACGCTCTAATGCCAACAATTACACTTTTAGGTTTGTGCAAACGCTAGTGCCCAAAACGACAACAACTTGCATTTTACAACGTCTAACGCTTTGAATGAAATCTTAAACTAGCGTGCTAGCATCTCAACATTTCAAAACGATCTTTAGAATCTGTATAAATATCAGTATTCCTATAACCTGAATATTTTCCGAAACAGAAGTCTTAGTCATCGCACACGTAAACTAAAACATAATTTCTTAGTTTGAACTACGTCTTCTGATGCTAATTAAATTCATAATCACCCGCAGACATAATAATATATTGAATTAATATTTTCAAAATTTTATGTGAATAGTAATTCGCTTTGTGTACTTATCCGACTTGGATTCCCTCTTCTTACACAAAATTTACTGTTTAATCATTGTTTTTGAAAGAAAGAAAGAATGACCTTTCTAAATCGTATAAGGATAAACAGATTTAAAAGGGCCTCGCTGGATGGCCAAATTCAGTTGGTCTTTATTTGTTGGAGGGTGTTTCAATTACTACAGTGTTCTTACATTAGCGTGTGGTTTGTTCTATTATCACTTCCGGATTGATAATTGTCAATAAACAATAAATGTGTTTCGAGATTAAACAGAACGATTAACTATTAACTATTGACAGGACACTGGCATCATTCATTTGAAATGTTGCATATAGTAAGGGCCGTTGTTTACCTTCGTACAAGAGAGACGATGCAGCTGTTCTTCACCAACCATGGGCCATTTCGGCTGGATCGCTGACAGAACGGCATTTTCTACAAGTTCTTCACACGGAGCGGGTCGATGTAGATCGGAGCGGTTCAGGAGGAAAAGAGCGCTCTCTGGGTTGAAATCAATACCATGCCTCGTAATCTCCTTTTTCACATTTTCCAACATGTTTTCGAACTAGAAGTTGAGAAATGAAAACAGCACTTTCACCATGTCTTACAGAAACTGGATATTTCAAATTGCTAGTTTAATGTCAGTAACAAATAGTTTCGCCTGAGGGAAAATAACATTTGCAGTCCATTTTCTTTTACTTGAAGTGTTTCCCAATATATCGGGGCGTGTTTGGAGAAAGATTGAAGATTTGTCATTCTGTCGGAATTGTACCGATAGCAAATGTGTTGTACCATATCGGGAATGTATTTTTTACACGTTATCTCACGCATGTTACAGATGTTTTACATATGATTTGTATTCTTCTGGGTCCACAAAAGAATAATGACCTTCAGTAAGGTTATTCATATCATTTGTGGTGTGAATTGAATTGTGAGTTGATGATGTAAAAAACAAAAGAATATCGAAATGTTAACAAGATAGTAATTTGAACTCAAACTCATAATAAACAAGGGCAAGCTATGAACAGAAGGGCAGATTTAGGTGGCATTTGAAAGTGCAAGGATATTTAGACCAGGTGTTCCGGATGGGTAAGCGTCTTTCGCTTCATCGACGACAAGAGCAACAGAACTGAAAATCCAATTCAATCTATGTAATATCATGTCCTCAAAGCGCGAGCCGGGTAAGTAACAACGAAACAACAAGGTACACTAATGAGTATGATCAAAGACATCGACCTTAATATCAAACAAAGAAATATATTACTTCCAAATGTTACATAATGGGGACCAAAATATATATGGAAATTACATCTACCGGACAATATTACCTGAGGCAGTTTATTAACACTTAACAAATAATGTTGCATGTATACTCCAAATTAAACATTTTGGCAAATCTCGTTACAATTAGGATCTAAAAAAACCTGGAAATATTTACCGTTTTTCTGACAGGCTCTCCCCCAATATCGATGAGGAAGATAAAAAGGTGAAAGTTTGGAATGTTTTCCAGGATTTTTGATACTCCAAATTCGTTATCCGACAAACCCGGGAGGTCAAGGAACACTATCGGTAAGGGCTCAGCGTTTCCCTTCAAAATTGAGCAATCAAGGGTCAATTTAATACATACTTACACTAATATCCGCGATGGGTAAAAACTTCAATGTCAAATATAATTTTGCCTGATTTCTTACATATGTAAAATAATTCGACTGATGCAAACAATTAAAATGTTAGGATGAAAGTTTAATAAGTTTCATTGTGCAGAAAAGAATAATTGTACTGTTAATTTGTAAATGGAAATTTCATAAAGAAGCAGTTACATGAAGTTAAGAAAATAATATAATGATATACACTAGCTTTTAAGGAATGGTTTAAAGATATTTTTTATATGATACAAAATGATACAGAGCGAAGGACAAATGACACTTACCGCACTGTCTACCTGTTTCACATGTGTTTGATGGGGATCCTATAATTATGTTCGTCAACAGAATATATATATAAATGTATATGATACAATTGTATAAAAACGTCCTAGCTACAAATGTTGAGAGAATAAATTAGATAAATGGACTGTAATGACAGTAATCTGTAATCTGATTTAAAGATTAAGATATTTAGTTGTTCGTTTATAAAATTATAAAATAGTTTACATAGCGAATATTTTGATATATTGATTTAATTAATAAAAGTATAACTTGTTTTTATCCATTTTAATCCGGACTATTAGTTAATTAATAAATTGACATAACAACTTTCGTCATCTGCAATTCTTTTCGGTGTTGTTTCATGAGGGTCGCTTGCCTATCAAAAATGTTCATATATTTTATCTTTCTAAGTGACCATGAAAAAAAGATATTTACAATATAACAAAAAAAATATCTAAAAACTATACATTTGAATCACAAAAAAATTGATATGAGTTTAGAAATAATCTTATATTTGGATTCAATATTTTTAATTTAAATGATTTCTTTTTAAACTCAATGATATACTTTTAAAATTCAAATGTTATGTTTTGAATTCAAATATAATTTTTTTGAGATAAAATGTTATATTTTTGGTGAGTTAAAACTTTTAATTCCAATTTATCTTTTTTGATTTCAATGCTTTTTTTTAATTTTTGCATGTAGTTATAAATATGCAAATGTCTGACATGCCATACTCATGGTGCATTTACTTATTAGACAGATTGTCTCAACACAGCTGTTCGCACAGAACATCATAAACCAATCTAGTACACAAACAATCTACTGAAGAAAGACTGATGCTTCGTTATCAATCCAAGTACGAAACAATACAACAATATACAGAAATAACATAATTTATTTTAAGAATATTTTGGAGACATTTATACTTACAGTGTCCGCCAAACTTCCCTGCAATGAATCATACCCTTAACACTAATACGTAATAATATCGAAAACATGTGTATTAATACATCATTACAGTTATTGTAGTCAAATTAAATTTCGTTTAAAAGACGTTACATATGGATTCGCTTTATGCAATCTCTCGTTTTGTTTTCAATTCTAGAAACAATTTTTAGAAAACGATAAACTCAGCCAAACTCGACCTCCCCTAGACGGCAAGAACAGAGGGAAATTACACAAGGACAGATCAAGATGGAAAAATTGGGCCCATTGGACTTATTAAAGACAATCTTTCAAAAGAAAGAAATATAATATGACATTTAAATCTGTTAAATTGTTTTACAACAGCGAAGAAAGTCTGATTCAGTGTATTTGTTTATTGCAACATCGATTTGAATACCACTACCCACTATTTCAAGGGAAGGCCAAAGATTGTATCTAGTATCAAGTCTTCAATTATTAACAAGATACCAATGGGGCCTGAATCACTCGCCCGTTATTTAATGGTGAAGATGAAACATTTAATAGTGAGGATGATATATTTAATGGTGAGGATGAAATATTTAATGGTGAGGATGAAATATTTAATTTTGAGGATGGAATATTTAATGGTGAGGATGAAATATTTAATGGTGAGGATGAAATATTTAATGGTGAAGATGAAATATTTAATGGTGAGGATGAAATATTTAATTGTAAGGGTGAAATATTTAATGGTGAGGATAAAATATTTAATGGTGAGGATGAAATATTTAATGGTGATGATGAAATATAGCTCAGCAGTCACATGGGATTTAATTATATATTGAACAACCTTGCAATTTTTAAGTCGCTCAGCTCTATGAACTATAAAGTCAACTAATATGATTCTAAATCTTATAGTTCTTTATTTTTTTTTTATTTCGAAGCCTTCGGCGTATGCTTAATCAGTAAACTTGAATGATTGTCAATGCTTTCTATTCAGACAGTGTTTCACCTGAAGAAACTACAAGCTAAATACACTGGTATGTTTGTATGTTACTATGACAAACAACTTGTCATAGTAACACACTTCACTAGTTTATTATAAATCTTCAAAATCATTTCTTTGTTTCTAAATTTAATGGGCATCTGTAATATTGTAACAACGAAAGTTAAAAGAGAATATAATCTCATCAGGGTACATTTTTGATGGGGGTTAACTCTGATAATGAACTAAATTTCGTATAAAATCTATTATTTTCTCAAACGGTGTCAAAATATCAAAATTATAATGTTAAATGTTATGTTAGTATGGGAAAACTTAATATTAAAAAAGATAACGTTTTTATGTAAATATTTGTAATATTTTGCATGTATAACAATGTGAATATTTTGAAGGTTAAAGGTATTCTGAACGTCAATAGCTCCTGTGTAGAGTCTTTTTAAAGTGTGATTGGTAATGCTTTTCGAAATAGATTATATAAATAGTACTTACTAATCCTGATTCAGGACCAAACTCATCGGACACTTGATTCTGAAAATTCAGATATTTAACTTTGATCAACGTAACAGACAAAATACTGCCATCTTTATTTGGTGCACATCAATCAGGTAAAAAACCCTAATATATTATCACAGACTTAAGAAGGAATCTAAAGAAAACAAAATTCTTACATGAAATTAAAAAATACCTTACCGTATCTTAAAAATAAGATCCAAACATTCTGCATGGTCCTGTATCGCTCTCACTAATCTATCTATCGAAACTTTTCTCCGATCATCTCTGACATACCTAGCTCAATTTTTAACTTAAGAGGAAATATTTTATCTGACCAGTCATCAAGGTCACCATATCAAAATACTTCGTGGCAATGAACAAGATAATAGAAATCATATCACACAAGCGTTGACAATTAACAAAATGATAGTAATCATAAAATACTAGCGATAGCATTGAACAAGTTGATATTAATCAAAGTATACTAGCGATAAGGTAACAATGAACAAGATGATAGTAATCATATCATACAAGCGATAGCAATGAACAAGATAATAGTCATCATAGCATACTAGCGTCAACAATTAACAAGATGATAGTAATCATAGCATACTAGCGAGGGCAATAAACAAGAGGATAGTAAACATAGCATACTAGCGATAGCAATGAACAAGATGATAGTAATCATAGCCCAATAGCGGTGACAATTAACAAAATAATAGTAATCATAGCACACTAGCGATAGCAATGAACAAGATGATAGTAATCATAGCATACTAGCGTTAGCAATGAACAAGATGATAGTAATCATAGCATACAAGCGATAGCAATGAACAAGATAATAGTCATCATAGCATACTAGCGTCAACAATTAACAAGATGATAGTAATCATAGAATACTAGCGATAGCATTGAACAAGATGATAGTAATCATAGTATACTAGCGATAAGGTAACAATGAACAAGATGCTAGTAATCATAGCACACTAGCGATAGCAATGAACAAGATGATAGTAATCATAGCATACTAGCGTTAGCAATGAACAAGATGATAGTAATCATAGCATACAAGCGATAGCAATGAACAAGATAATAGTCATCATAGCATACTAGCGTCAACAATTAACAAGATGATAGTAATCATAGAATACTAGCGATAGCATTGAACAAGATGATAGTAATCATAGTATACTAGCGATAAGGTAACAATGAACAAGATGATAGTAATCATAGCACATTAGCGATGGCAATTAACAAGATGATAGTAATCATAGTATACAAGCGATAGCAATGAACAAGATGATAGTAATAATAGCATACTAGCGATGGCAATGAACAAGATGATAATAATCATCGCATACTAGCGATAGCAATGAACAAGATGATAGTAATAATAGCATACTAGCGATAGCAATGAACAAGATGATAGTAATCATAGCCCAATAGCTGCGGAAATAAACAAGTTGATAATAATCATAGCATACAAGCGATAGCAATGAACAAGACGATAGTAATCATAGCATACTAACGATGGCAATGAACAAGATGGTAGTTATAACAGCACAAAAGCGGTGGCGACGAAAAAATAAAAGTAATCATAGAACAAGAACGGTAGCAATGAACAAGTTAATTTGTAACTCACATCAAAGAAACGCAGCGGCCAGAACAACAGTAGTCTCCGGACAGGTTTCCCATTTAACTCTCCAGAGTAAACTAGCTTGCGAACAGCTTCCCATCTATAGTCGCGGTTGTTTAATGGCAGCTTTATTTCTTCGTTTTGAGTGCCATCTTGGTAATACACCAGAGCATATCGCTCGGTGCTGTTATGAACCTCACACGGAACAGTCGTACACTTAGTACTGGACACCGGCAGATACTCATCGCCCAGAAACAAATTCAAGACACTTGTCTTCCCCGCATTTATGTCGCCTTAATTTAAAATAAATTGAATTGAAATTATTCTTATACTGTCGTATGTCTTTAATTTGTACCCATACTCATGCCATTTGAAAATACGTTTTTATGGCACATTGAAATTTTACCAATCTTCCATACTTTTTGAATTGCTGTTGATAATCACAAATAATCGATTTCAGAGATTAAATTATATTTATTATATATGATTGGGAAAGCATCGAAAACGGTTATGAAGAAAGCACCGACAACAGCACAGTCATATACATAGCTCTGAATTTTAATGGAAACATTATGGGAACAGATTAAAAAAAAAACGGCTGCACACATTGAGTTGACTTTACACACTGTTATGACATTTAATTTGCCAAAATGCATGTTAGTATTGAAATATTGGATGCATATTTACACTATTTAAAATCACTGTTAATACAATATATGTTGACTTGGAGGACAGACATCACAGACTGAAAGAAAAAACAAAACGGCTATTGATAATGACAGCCATATAGAATAAAGGCTCCACTGGTACAAACATGTAAACATTACTCTTTCACTTGCTTCACAACTTTAATTTCTATTTTCAATATACCAAAAGATATGGAAGTTCCTACCTGCAATGAGTACACGAAGTGTTCTGGATTTAGATGGCGCAAGATTCGGGGATACATTTGCTGAGTCAAATGACGACGTTACGGGAGAGAAATCAAATGAGGTGTCAGTGGACAACATGCTGTCAGAGAGGTCTACATCGTTTGCTGCACCTGTCGAATTCTCGGACCATACAGGTGAATCCCTTCTGGGCCCGGGAGGACACAGTGCTGCACCTGTCGGATTCTCGGACCATACAGGTGAATCCCTTCTGGGCTCGGGAGGACACAGTGCTGCACCTGTCGGGTTCTCGGACCATACAGGTGAATCCCTTCTGGGCCCAGGAGGACACAGTGCTGCAGATGATTTTAAATCTAACATCCGTTTTTGAATTGCTTCTTTTATGGTATTTACGCTTTGATCGTTTATTTGATTTTTTAACATGGTTAGTGTAATAGTGTTGAAGTTTTCAGGTTGGTCAGTGATGGTTGAGAGGGTGTCCTTGTACAGATCATAACAGTCCCTGTATGGCTGTTCCTGTTCCTCTAATCTCTGCCGCAGACTCGACATCTGGTGAGAAATGCACAGAAAGAACATGCTCAAAGTGATCATGATAAGTCATGCGTATGTTACTAGGTACCATACTTTGTTATTAAGTATCATACTTTGATACTAAGTGTCATACTTTGTTGCTAGGTATCATACTGTGTTACTAGGTACCGTACTTTGTTACTAAGTATTATACTTTGTTACTAGGTATCATACTCTGTTACTAGGTACCATACTTAGTAAATATGAGTGATGGTGTTTACTTTTTTATACTAGAATCATACTTCGTAACTTGAGTGAGGGTTCAAAATTTAAGATGAATGCATTGACGGTATGATGAAATTCTAAACGCCACGTGGGTTTTCTACGGGTGTCCTCCCACACTAAGACCCCCACGCGCTAACATCGGGGCCAATAAGTGTGATTGATATAAGTTGTAATAAATTGTTTCATAATTTCAAATAAATATAGTTTATATTATATTAAAAAAAAATCTAAATGAGGATAATCACATTTAGCGATATCAAGTAGCTTTTAACGAAGACGACTGTATTCCATACTTAATTATATTGATTTTTATAAAGTAATGTTTGGTATAATTTACACAGAAGCTATATATGAGGACGAATATTATACAGAGTAGCTATATATAAGGATGGATATATTGATGTTATATATTATTGTATAGTATAAAGAATAGCTATATATGAGGATGGATATATTGATGTTATATATTATTGTATAGTATAAAGAATAGCTATATATGAGGATGGATACATTGATGTTATATACTATTGTATATCGTACAGAGTAGCTATATATAAGGATGGATATGTTGATGTTATATACTATTGTATATCGTACAGAGTAGCTATATATAAGGATGGATATATTGATGTAATATACTATTGTATATTATACAGAGTAGCTATATATGAGGATGAATATATTGATGTTCTATACTATTGTATATTATACAGAGTAGCTATATATGAGGATGGATATAGTGATGTTATATATTATTGTATATTATACAGAGTAGCTATATATGAGGATGAATGTATTGATGTTATATACTATTGTATATCATACAGAGTAGCTATATATTAGGATGAATATAGTGATGTTATATACTAATGTATAGTATACAGAGTTGCTATATATGGGAATACATATAAGGATTTTATATACTAATGTATAGTATACAGAGTTGCTATATATGGGGATACATATAAGGATTTTATATTTTTATGTATATTGTACAAAGTAGGAGGATGGATATAACATACTTATGGATATTTTACACAATAGCTATGGATGATAGGGAAGAATTTTATGCTACTAAGTAAATACTAAATGACAATGTGTACCTTCATTATATAAAGTAGCTGTAAATGAGGATGAACATAATTATAATATTTAGTAGATATAAATGAAGATTTAATAAATCATTACACTTAGTAGTTTTGAGTAAAATTGTATTTAGTAGCTATATATACAAACATTTTTATTTGTTTCATGATTAAACTTTACCTTCTTTAGTCAATGCGTCACAGTAACCTCAGAAATAGCTCATTTTTCGTTCCACATCAGAATCTTCAATTTGAACAAAACATTCTAAGTTGTATGTCAAAAAATCCGTACACGAAATATAAAAAATGCCAAGTTATCAGTATTATATCATACATATACCGTTATCATCAGGGTGGAATGTTCCTGCTTGCGTTATATGTCTAAATTTAGAATGAAAGTTGGACTGTCCTCGATATTTACCTGTGGTTCCTATCTGACATGGCAGTTTGTTTATGTAAATATATATCGTAGTGGTCACATGCTAACAGAACGTAAATGAGGCAAAAAACATAATAATTAAGTGAAATAAAACATTTATTTGCAACTGTTTGGCTAAATATGGCAATGTCTTAGCTACAGCTATCAATACTTAAGTTGATTTATATTTGCAGTCAGAGTAATATTGAGGATAGACATTTTGTTCCGAAAAAGATGGATATCACAGTATTCCTGTCCGACCCCGAAAGGATAAGGTCAAACTGCCCTTTACTGAGACCAATGCCTTTTACATATTGTTTGCTTATTCTATATATAAAAATGAATTAGGTGCCTAAAACGTGACAATAACGATTACTATTCTTAGGACCTCGGATAATCGAGAGTGCACAAGTTGCACCCGAGAGTTTTCATGTGATGTACTACAGCATGATGTGGCGTTTAGTGTTTAAACAAATGTTTAGACATGTGATAACATGTAAGTAGGTTATCTAACATCGTGTTTTTGTCATCACAGACCTATTATAATGCACGCTTTACCCCTGTATCGTGACACATACCTGATAAGATTACAATCAAACACAATTTAACCATCACTGCGTCCCATAATGGGGGTAGATAAATAACTTTGGCCGTGATATTTCAAAGAAGCAATTGAAGGTTTAAACACAACATATAATAAGGCAACACTCTCAAAAATACATAAAATGGTATTGAAATGATTAATGACGAAATATCGCAGTTGATTATTTCTTACAATTTTTAACTTCTGTAAGTTATTTTATCTAAACAATGAATAACGAACATAAAAAAGAAGGTTTTTAGCATTGAAAATTTATTTTCCTGTAAATTTATGGCATTCCTTCAAATTCATTTTATAGGGTGTGGGTCTTTCTAGAGAGTTGACCATTTTGAAACTATTCTCAGTAACATTGCCGAAAAGACATTAACAGTTCTTGTGTTATAATTATCACCTCAAACTTCTGAAATATTCTCAGACACACTATGTTTATACACCCTGTTTTCCACATTATTGTATGGAGATGATGCTGTAAAAGCTACCTCTAGTCATATTTATATATTGTTCTTTATTTACCTGATCATACGAATTACATATCATATTTATCATTTGTTTTATCAATTTATGTCACAATGGCAAATATCCGTATCTGGAAATGACATGTATATTAGATTTTAAAGCAAAGATCATGCAAGTGTTGGCTCATGGCTTTATCAATCCATATATAAAGTAGTTATATGATGATATTATTTACTTACCGAACTGACCATATTGTCATCAAAGAATGACGTTTAAACTTAAAAAAAAGTAAGATATTCATCATAGAATTTATGACGATATGAATGAGAAAATAACTACAACCTACACTGTAAATATGCATTACACTAGTTTATGGCCTACGATTCGAATTTTACCATGAAAACATATTCAAACATAATTATGCCGATACCTAGTATTCTAACTTAGATTTACTATATTTTGCAGGCTTGAGATTTACTATAAACTTACTTTTTCCTTTTCCTTAATGTAACAATCAGCTATATGTGTTTGATATTTACTCTGTGTACTCGTATCTCTGAACAGGTAACGTGACCTTCTGCTGTCATCAGTTTTGATGATGGGCTTGCTCCTATTTTAGTTTGAGTGAATAACTGTTGTTAGATAAGTACATACTCTAAGTTGTGTTTAGATGGCAGCCAGGTTGTTTATCGATATGTGAGGACAGTACTAAATCTGTAGAAATCGTTAAACCAGTGACAGGCAAGGTAAGTGTAACACTTTGTCCTACTTTGCTTCAGAGAACTATAGCTATATACTGTACAAAGTAAGATTTTATACGCTTTGATCATATTCTTTGTTAAATTTGTGCTGAATTTCGTTTTTGATATTGCTGATTAACATCATGCTCCTCTTTTTAGTCTTATTTTATGTGTAGGTCGACTAAATATGGTCTTTTGTATTGAAACAACATTAATTACACTTTAATCGGGGTAAGTAAGTTGGCCTATATAGCCGTTACAGACCTCTCAAGTAGAAACAGATATACTCATCCATATAATACAATGATAAATGTGATAACATTTTGTATAAGGGTAGATAGGATAAACAATGTTTATGACTATTAAATATTTTCAAATCTCATAAAATCAATTATTTGCATGTGCTCACTGAATAACTTTAAATAAATGAATCATTTTATCTATCACATATACTACGAATCGTTTATCACTACTTCCTTCTTCACGTAAATCTCTCATCCCGCTAACTGTATAAAGAGTGATTAGCCCAATCATATTGTCCTTGATAGCCCAACGGCTTAGATGTCCTGAGGTCACATTATACACATATGTACCCATGATTAACGGTATTACTTCCCTTTTTACTGTGATATCGCGCTTATATTAAACTTTAACCATTGTTGTTTACCGCCTGCGGTTATAATCCATAACAAGCTTTACTGTACCGGAAATATAGTTTTCATATGGTATTTGTAGGTGTTTACACTCATATGGTGTTTATACGTAGGAATTTTGATATTAATGATTCTCGAAACACTGACCTACAAATCGGGCAGTAGTAACTTAATGAGCAACTAGTATAACTGTATATTGGTAACAAAGTTAATTATTCCCAGGGTGCAGAGAGCGTAAGTGAGCGTAACCACTGGATATCGAGGACGGCGCGCGGTACGCAATGATGTAACAGTACTCCACAAGTATATGAATACTTATATGAATAATGTTTTGTTTAGATACATCTCAAAAGTTCTAAGTACAAAATGGTTATTTTGTTGTCACTCGGAAAAGTGATATTACTTTTATATGACCTTGATTTACATGGTGGGTGTTGTCGATGAATGAGAAGACGCTTACACTTCCGAAACATCCGGCCACCTTGTACGTTGTCAAGTCTCCCTGCAAATATTTCCCTTTTCCATATTTTGTCTTTGTGTTATCAGTTTGAAGTTCCAATGATAGTTTCTTGGCACATACGCTTTCTCTTGCTTATATTCAAGTTTTCCTTTATCGTTATCTCGCCATTTAACATGTTCAGTCTACAGTTCCTGCTGTCTGTATATGTGACTGTGTAATTAAGGAAAATCACCGTGTGCTGTGTTTTTGCTTGCATATTTCAGAGGATAAAAACATATTCTATTTTGAGCAGTGTTTATAACTTTTTCTAATGTTCTTTCTTGATTATTCTTTGCGACGATATTTTTCCATGTTCGCCACCGAGTTATTACAAACTATGATGGCATAGCTAAAAAGACACTTGTGTAAAATATCAATTTGTATTCATTTTATACTTCACGCTTACACATTATAATATTTCAGGCAGAAAATCCGTTTTTAGATAAAAAATAATCATCCTTAAACCTCGAAAGGCCGATGACAAATGCTCGTATTTATTCTTCGTGTCATGCATTACATACTTGCATAAATGTACCTTTAAATATGACAAATATTTTTGATTATTGTGGTATTTCTTCCAGAAATTTTACATAGATATTTTGAATTTATACAAAATGATTATAGAGCAAAATCAACATTAACGAGTAAACACGTCTTTATCTAAATCTAATGTTTGAATTAATTCTTTTTTGCCAGATGTCACGTCTAATTCAAAAGTTCCAGTCTCTGGAGCCATGTTATGGGCAATGCCACGCCATGTACATTAAAACCATGAACATGCTAACGGATGGAAAGAACATGGACATTTTCAACGTAATCACATTAAGTATGCTGAAGAACAAGGTGAGCGACGGAAGCGTGAACACTATTGGAGAAATGCTTGAAACAAGGATAAATGACCTAAAACCTTCTGAAGATTTATGTTTGTCAGCTGACAGATACAACCTAGAACGACTAGACAGCAATTCGTCCACTAGCTCAAATTCGAGTAGTCCAACTAATTCCACAGAGGAGAGTTCCTTTACTGGTCCAGGATCACCAAGGGAACTCCGAATTCTCCTGACAGGTAAACTCATTGCACTTTATCAATGTGTGCTTAAGTGACAACATCAGGTATACATTTTGTACAAGTAATTTTGAGTTTGATTGATGATATAACGGTGAGATATGAAACCTTGTCTGACTCGAGATAACACTTTATTTGTAATAAACCTATAAAGCTACTTACTCAAACGACACATTGTGGATATAAATTATCCATTTATCAAAATATCGAATTGAAAATCCACAAAAGTGGAGCTGCATGTTTCCCTCCTTTTCCTTTTAAGCGCAGTATATCATTTATAAGAAACAATTTATAAATTAAAGTTTATCCATATTCATATTTTAACGAAGACATTTTACGAAAACTCACTGTGGTTTATATTTTCTTCAGTGTTATACATATATTGGGTAACATTAAATTTGAATTTTATAAATATTCCATCGATGAAATTTATATCTGAATATCACCTATTTATTTTTGAAAAAGAACGATATTCAACTTTGCTATCCAAAATATCTTTTTCAATGTTGAATGGCTTTTTCGAATACAACCACTTACTTTATTTCTGATTGAGAAGCTATCTTGTAATATGTTATCAACATACCTAATTATAGTTTTTATATGTTTCTTGTCATAGTCAGTAGAAACTAATTTGGGCCTTCTGGGACTTATAAATACAGTTTTCGTAAGATAATTGTAGGGTTCTCATATGTATTTAGGCACAAAAAAGGAAGAATTGTTGACATAATTAAGCCGTTATATGACTAAGTCACAGTGACCTACTCATCTATTATGTGCTTATATTTTTGGCCAATTTTATTATTTGCAGCATTAGTGTTACACAATACATAAAAATTATGAAAAAACCATGTTCTTTTGTCATGGCATAACCCATAAGGTATATGTAGATAGCCACCAGAAGGCCCAAATTGGCAGCCATCCTTTCAGCATTGATTTTCATGATGTGAAGGGAATCTTTCTGTATTAATTGGTTCAACAGGGGATATTGATGCCGGTAAAAGTAGCGTGCTGAACGTGATAATGGGTGGTGCCTACCTACCTAATCACAATGCGAAAACTACGTTAGTCTCGTGTGAGATCCACAACAGTCATCGGAGGTGCGCCAAAATATGTTTTGGAGAAGACAAACATAGATATATTGATCCGCTGTCTTCTGACGCCACCGACAAAAGTTGGAGGGTCCTTAGAGAGGTGATAAAACGAGGAAAAGATGTAGACAAGACTGTGACCAGAGTTAAAATTTTCTGGCCATTGAGACTTTTACAGGTAAGTTGACACTTACGTTTAACTTCTGTATAGTGCTTTCTTTGTTTGATATCTTAGATATGAACTATTCTTGGTTTTAAGTCTTGACTAAGCAGAGCAAGACACATTATCAGGCGAATGCCTTCATTGAATGCTAGTATACGAATGCATGTATAGCAAATAAAATCACTTTCCAAACGATTCCACAGAAGGTGATATTTTTCTACTCGAGCAAATATTGCCAGTTAGTTTAAGGTCAACATTATCTTACTCCTTCTCTCATTCACGTCTTCTGCCCAACTCCGCTTCCCTAAACATCATATTTTGCAAAATACAAGGGATTAATATGCTTCCTCTTCATAAACGGCAAAACATGCTTTAAAGTGCGAGAGAATGACTAAGCACATCCATCGTGAATAGCTAATGTTTGGGTGTTGAAGACTTCTAAGTTTTTAACGAGAAAAGTAGTCTTTTAAGTAGTACAGTGAGGTTAAGCAGGACTTTTATCTTTTCTTTCAGGATAATTCCAAATGGGAGTCCGTGAGTACAAATCGATTTTCCTCCAGAGAAGATGTATATTCAACATTATCTTTGAATATTGAATTAATTTTCATGCTAAAACGATGATTTTAATATTTTCTTCCGACATTTATACACTTGGGAAAATACTTTCCGGAGATGTGCAAGCTGAACGTATCTCAGCATTATATTAAGGCCAGTGTTCCCACGGTTATGTAAGACGTATATGTCTTATCTGTGATTATCTTGTGAAGCAAACATTAGCAATTGTTTTTAATAAATAGACTAGGGATAAGAATTGTTCTTTAAGTTTTGGTTTCACTTTTACGTTTCTTAATTTCCTTATGATTTATTTTTTTGCAAACTTTGAATTTTAATTTTTATGCCTTGGATGTTGGTTGAGTTGAGATGCATTTTTCGAACATTTTTTTTATTTACAAACAACAGATATAAAGAAAAACATATTGTCATCTTGTAATTTCCACCCTTTATTTATTCATTTATGCGCACATTGCGATGCTTAACTGCTTGCTTTATGTATAAAAGTGATTGTAAGCCTTTGTTTTTGTTTCACAATTATAACTAATACTATTATTCATATGTTGTAAAGCACTTTAGAGTAATTTTACAAATTATATAGGGCGCTATATAAACGTAGTATATTATTGTTATTATTATTTATTATTATTTTCTTTTAGAGACTAACCCTTTGTGAATTTTTAAAAGTGGTTCACACCAGATAAAACACACCCATTTTCGGTCTACAAGTTACGTTATGTAGATTAATTAGAATTTTTAAAATCTTGGCCGCTACAATCAATGAGGAACACCTGTATGTTTGTCTATTTCTTATGAACATTGGCTACGTGCACGTGCAACTATTTGACCCTTTAACATTATTGAATTTTAACCGCAGGACCCTGATCACACTCCGGTAAAACAGGTCGTTGGAACAGTAAGTATTCAAGCTTCTTTCTACAAAGACAATGTAATATATATACGGTATGAATCATAAACGTCACTGTTTTATAAAACGCATTTTCCAGATTTGAAATTATTCTGGAGGACATAACATGGAATTTTACTGTGTGATCTCGATAACAATCAGTAAGTCATAATGATAATAACATTGCAAATTTACAGTGACTATGGTTTATAGATTATATAATATAATGAGTATTGGCCTTATTTATACTTAGCCGCATCGAAGACAGAAATTTGTCAATAATTTATTTTTTAGTTTATCAAACAATTCGGAGAAAAAAACAGCAGAATAAGTTGAAATACGCAGGAACAAATTCTTTCTGAAACTGATATCGCAGGATAACTGCATAAAGTGCTATCTTTTTTAGAATAGGGAACCGGCGGATCAACCAGACACATCTGACCCAGTGAGTATTTCAAGCTTGCATTTAGGCAAATATTATGATCAAATGGTTAGCCCAAGCATTTCTAACCTACGTTCAAGTGTTATGTTATTTTGTAGTAAATTGAAACTGACAGATGTAGTTTGAGAACAACTGTTTATTATTAAGCGCTTACCGTTTTGTTCAGTCCGTCTGTATGTGTCCGTCGATTAGATAGCTTGGTTTATCTCGTAGTTTTGCTCCATTTACTCCGATATTAGATGTGCACACATCTTGCGAAGTACTATATAAATAAGACAAATGTTGGTCACTCTGACCTATATTTTCAGCTTCTTGGACTTTCGATCAACCAAATTACTTACATATTAGAATTCCAGCTTTAATGGAATTTTATATGTGAAGATATCCTGAGTAGTACCACACTAACAAATCATATGTTTGTCATTTTGACCTATTTTTTTTCCACTTCACTGACTTTGATAATTTTTTTCTAATTCGATATTGCAAATATGTGCAATTTTTGATTGTCCTTGTTCTTTATAATATATTTCTTTTGGCAGGTCCTGCCAGTTGTATTCCTTGATCTACCTGGATTATTCGACGCTGGGGCGACGCAGGTACTTGAGAACATACCTGATTACCACCACTTCATTATCGTCATCGACTGTTCTGCTATCATCAGAGATACGGTAAAAATACACATGATTAAATATGAATTGTTTACCACTCCAATACGATGCTTATCAAACAATGAAGTAACGGCCATGTTAAGATCATGAACTTGTATCACACATACCCTACGATTGACGATATGGAAACAATTTTCTCGTTCTGATACAATTAGTATTTCCTCGACGAAACACTAGTTTCTATTATTTGCAGATTGGCATGGTATTAATGTTTCGGCATATTAAAAATATAAATAATAAATTTATTCATGCCGTAAGAACGAAAATTATTTTCATCAAATATGATTGGCTTTTGCCGTATTCCTCTCCTGCCAGACTTAATTTGGCTTTCAAAGAGACAAAATATATTGAAGAGCTTGTCAAGACTGTTAAAGAATTCGGATATATGGCCGATGTGTTTTCTTTAAATAACCAAACAATTATTGACTACGTCGGTCACACGCATCATCATGAATTTGAACCAGGACACTACACAGGCCTTTCTTCATCAGCTAGGCCGTAAACATTGATAGTTACTTACAATGTAACCAACAGGAACACTTTTATCCTTCGCTGTACTATAAACATGACTTTTTCGATTTTCTATTTGTCCTTTTTTTTGATAGTAACATTTTGCAGTTGATTTCATATCGTGATGTCGTAGGAAAGATGACACTATGCAACAATAGTTGGAGTCTTGCTAATATTACACATTTCTTTCACTGACCTGGACATTTCTTTTTTCATTAAAGTATGATTTTTTGTAAGAATGCATAAGGAACCTTTTGTATCATTTATCACCATAAATAAATATATATTATATCAATAAATAATATCTTAGCAACAAAACACTAACACGAATGCAGTTTAAATCCGACTTAATAACCTATCTCGTGTTGTGGAAAAAATCAAGGAAGCAGTCTCTTTTAATATTTGGTACCGAAGGATGGAATATCTCATAAATAAGATTGAGACACATAAATAAAAAAAAATACCATACTTGTAGAAATTATAAATATACCCATGCTATTACATATACATTTATTTTATACGTTTATAGGTTTATAAGCGATTTTGCCCGCTGTATTTTTGGGTGATTTTTGCCACTGAGTATTTATGTTATTTGTATTTTGTATTTTAGTATTCGTTGCACATTTTCCTTTTAATTTAAAAATATGGATCGAAAAACGAGAAAAAAAACGAAACAATGAAAAATCCAAGACAAATTTAAAACAAGGAAATGGTATTAATAACCAAATATATATATAAAAAAAGCCGCTCATAATGATGTTCGGATGGATGTATTAAACTGTCCTCATTGCAATGATTCAGTTGGACGTTTTGCTAAAAGGCATAGAGGATAAAATCGCACAACATGGTGGTGCATTCAACCCAACATCGGTTATGTTCTTGTTGAACCGTTGTGACTTGCTGGACGAAGACCCGAGCGGCGAACCTAGGAAGAAGGTTATTTTGAAACAAATACAGAAAACTTGGCCTATCGTGACCGACCGTCAGCTCCACATGATATCATGTAGAAAGGTACATTTATTTATTCATAGAACTAAATATAGTTCATTATACCAATACTATTTTTCTAAGCATTGTTCATTATACTAAACACATACGCCTGGTGAGATGAGAAGCAGTCGGAAAAAGGCTTCGTACGCTTGTACTTGACATAAATAATAGTCTTTGGAATTTTTAATCTTTTCCTATCAATGAACTTACAACATTTATGAATTTTTATGACTTCAATTTCAACCTCAGTTTTCTCCGATAAATTGTGTCACGGTAACTTTAATCAGTGGCTTTAGATTATCGCGTGGAGTTCCTTACATGTTTTGCTGTAGATTGTAACAATATATTGTCTTCTGCCTTGCACTATACCAGTATTCTGTAGTTTTGTGTATTATTCAGATGCTGAGAGGAAAAGGAAACATCAACGGTTTTAAGGATACGATCTGGACCTTCCTCGAGCTTGTCAATCGACGGAATATAGAGGAACATTGCTTGTATGTAGTGTAATTATGTAAATAAATAGGTAGACATAATCCTTTAATATCTTAAGCATATCACTGATTGGTGATTCTGATTATGATATAAATGTGAACTTGCAGTACGCAAATAAATCAATTTACAGGGTTTACTCAATTAACTTAAATTCTTTATAGTAGTTGCTTAAAGTACTATCTAGGGAGTTACTAAGTATAAGATTCATACAGAGAAATTAATCTTTTACTATGTTAAGGCCGTATCAGAAACGTACAATGATTTTATCGTAGGACGTACAATGAGTTAATTCACCGTTGGTACATAGATTACATCGTAATCGTTACTTTGACTCCAGCTACAGAATTACTTTTGCACCATCTTTGGTGTGACCTATAATTGTACCTCACGTGTTATTTTAAAATATAATTTACCTGTCTATTAAATTCCACAGCTGGCTTACAAAATTGTTGGAGGGTATTGCTGCGTACTTCGGGGCAGGATACAGCTGGTTGTCATTCGACGAGTGCTTGAAAGGGATCAAAAAGCATGCAGAGGAAGACATAAAAAATCTTGAGAAAGAAGTTGAAAAATTGTCAAACAGAAAATCATCTTTTTATCAAAAACTCCTTGCAGCTGCACAGAAAAGAAAACAGGCCCTCAAAAAATACTTTACAGATAGAAAGAAAACACCAAATGCTCCCGACACGTACACTGCAATAGCAGAGGCATTGGAAACGCCCGAATGTGAAAATATCAAAGCTGAATATGCTTCAAAGATAGAAGAAATACTCGAAGAACACAAGAGCGAATTGAAGAAAAAAACTAAACTCGTGGAAAAGGATGACGTTTCATTGGAAAATTACGTCGGACGTAACGAAATAATTGTTGCTGTAGGTAGACTTGTGATGACGCATGTCGCTGTGGTACAAGTACCAATCAGAACGTTTGAAGAGGAATTGGTGTACATCTGTAAAGACCCGAGCAGAGGAAGTGATATTGCCATTAACCTGCTCGCAGACTGGTGCGAACGACAGGCAGACATTGAAAGACAAAAAAGGATCGAGTTCTTGAAAATGCAGCGTGACTTGACAAGGAAGATCACAAACATAAGGCCAATGGTTGATGTGCAGACCACCAGTAGGCATCAGCGTCTAGCAGCTATCGCGGACAATGACGTGAAGAAACTTTATAAGATATATGTCAAAGATGTGATGGAACACGAGTTTCGTGGCGGGTTCGAAGAGGCTTCAAAGGACTGTTTTGTCCGACACCGCCAAGGGAAGAGCCCGACTTCGGGAGGCTTGCCCCAGCACACAGATATATACCGTGAAGTGATTATGTTAAGGTATGATGTTATAACTGTTGTCTTTAACTAGAAATTAGCTCGAGATATTGTTTAATGTTACCATAATGCCAGATATTAAGGGCAATCTAGTTAAAATTAAATCCTAATTCCCGTTCCTCTACGATACTCTTACATCACTATGTAGAGATTTTGTTCTGTGTTACCGAATAGAAGGGATAAATGTTTTTTATATATAGATCTAAACCGATCTACGATTTATATATATTTGTATTTTGCTATCATAACGATCTATTATATTTGAATGTAATGTTATGTAAATAGATAAGCACTTGTCTAAAGCATGTTGCTATAATTTTTGTCTTATACGTCCTGTTATTTCTTTAGAGCTTTGACAACAAAGGCAAAAGAGGAACAGGACAAAAAAGGTCATTTTCTATTGCTGCAAGATACGTGGCCCGTCGCCCAGGAACACGCTCACGATCTTGTCATTGGGATGGAGAGGTGTGACGTTTCACTTGACGAAGTGATCATGGATCTCCACACAGACACAGCTTTACGGACTAGCTGGGTAGCAGACGGCGGAAAGAAGAGGCTGGAGTATGTGCTGGGTGCAGCGAAGGGATTACAATTCATGCACGAAAACGGATTTGTACATCGTGACGTCAAACCCCACAATTTTCTGGTACATATATCATGTGTCTTTTTGAAACGTTTACTGTTTTCATTCAACATGTGTTTCAAAAAATATTTATACGCAGACGACATTTTGCCAAAATGAACCATTGCTCAAATTTAAAGGAACTAAATTCCAATATAAGAATAATCATTCTTTATGATATAACTGAAAATTGGTTATAAAATTATGTAAAAGTGTAGTCGAACGTATTGCAGAATTCTGGAGAAGGCAGTTCTGTGAAAAATGGATTCTATCAGATGTACATTCTAGCAGAGGGTATATAATTTGGGTCTAATCCATATTCTGCACTCATACGTATAATATCGTATCCCATATACCTATATATGGTAGACTTGATTAATTTTATACCCGCTTCCTATGTAAGTATTAGATCTAGAAAAGTGATGTCCCACGCTTTACATATAGACAGATTGGGTATGAGATTAACTGCAGTGAAATAAGGCTGCTTATGTAAAAGTTTATAAAACATTAAGCTAAGATCATTTCATGTCCTCATTCTAGGTGAAGCAAGGTCTCGATGGAGCACAAGATATAGTGAAAATATGTGCTGTTGGACATACGGAGGAAATGGCTAATATGGCAGCAGGCTACGGGACGAGGCAATACTGTGCACCCGAGGTACTGTCAGCGGAAAAATATTCCACAAATTCTGACGTTTACAGCCTCGGTTTGGTTCTCTGGGAGATGTGGTACTGTGAAAAGATCACGTGTAAGCCAGGTGAAACACCCCCGCTTGAGCCAGAACCGGAAGAGGCGTTTGGGATTATTCTACCGCTGTGTCTAGATGCATGTGCTGAAAATAGACCAGACTGTTCCTTCATTGTGCAGGAATTGGAGAAACAGTTCTCGGCTTTTTGCTCTTTAAGATGGTAAACAAGCTGACATACATATGTAATTGAGTGCAATATTTATTTGATTTTCGTATAAAGGAACAGTGCATAGTGTATGTTAGTGTCACGGATTACGTGTTGTTGATATCGAAACCTTCATACTTTTATTATATTCAAATCATGATAAGTTCTGAAACATTCAGGTAGTACGGCCAATATGAGTCAATGATACGTGAAGTCTTGTTTTAGACTCATTGATAAAGCTCCAAATCTATCCTTACATTTTGACATGTAAAATGAAGTTATGGATTTAAAAAATACGGATCATTTACAGTAGTTTTTTTCAATCATCAATTAACGTTCTTTAAATGTGGTTATTGCGCAGATTGTAAAATTAAGAACTTTCAAAGGACTATTTTCACATTTTTAGTAGTAAAACTAAACTAACATTGTTTTGCTCTAAATGTTCCGTTATTCCTTTTCCATCTTTCAGATCAGATATCTTGGTAATCATATATTCTAGAAGGCTAAACTTTTGTTTTACAATTGACATATTGTCAATGCTGATGAGATAATTTTTCATCAAACCATTTCATGTTAAAAAGAAGAGGATTTTTAGCCCTGTTTATGATAACTTATTACACATTGAATTTTGACCCCAAAACAGAGGGTACGGGATGGAGGTGGTTTGTTTTTTGAAGTATTTCATCAGAAAACCTAACAGCTTAAACACTACTCTATCAAAAATGTTTTTTACGGGTTTTTTTACGGTTTTTTTTTTTTTTTTTGGGGGGGGGGGGGGGTATTTTTTACGATTTTATTTGGGAAGAACACTTTGTAGCGTGCCAATATGTGAAAACAACCCAATATGTGAAACAGGAAAAACTATATTCAATTCATTAATTACTGTGTTGTGTTTAAATTACACTCATTTCTCAGGAAATTTTCTGATGAATTTGAAAAGTCCACCTTTCCACAATGACAGTCTTACGTACATTGAAAGACACCAAGTCAGATTTCAAAAACTGGTTTGGATTAGGTCATCGATGATAAAAAGTGCGGATATTGTTCAAATGCTGCCAAGCAGGATTTTACCTAATCATTATTCAGCCATTATTACAATTATCACACATTTGGTTGACACATGAAGATTCCCTAACGATGGTTGATTAGCATGTTTATCAAACTCAAGTTAGTTGTATAAAGACACGAGGTTTACCGAGTTCCTTTAACAATATGATAATATGATAATAGACTTACGAGAGTAAGATAACCATGATAATCAATCATCACTAGTTTGGTTGCATTTTCAGCAACAATAATCAGATCCTATCTAGAAAACCATATGTTTCTCTTGGAAATACGTCATTCTAGTTTCCCCCCAAAAATGAGATGAACTATTATTACATTACATTGGTAAATGATGTCGGAGAGGATTGTTGCATGACGTCATTATAAGAAAAAATGACCAATAAAATAACGTCAAGGGTATTACCCACTAGTGTGGAATCAAAATGTTCAACAATGTCTAAAAGGTGTATCCAATGAGTCTACTGGAAAAACAAATATCCATGTTTAAATTGATAGAACTACTATGTGTTAAGAATATTAGATATATATGTCGTCTTAGTTAATTAACTTTTGAATCAAATAAGCTTAGATCATAATCTCCTACTCTACATTATACACTGAACTGTTATCCATGCTGCTCTCCCATGTATGATTATGTATTGTATACTGATGGTCTTTAAGGCCTTAAGTCATTAAACGAATTGAATTGAGTCGGGATTCACAAAATCCTATAACGGTTGTGGGAGAAAAACGTTTCGAACAACAAACTAATGTAATAGCTTTTATTTTACGAGTGTAGGGTTTGTTTTCCTCCATAGTAAAACTACTAACTCAGTCTTAATGTTTATCATTTTGTTTTTACCGGAATGGTAAGAAAATAAATATCAAGTCACTTTTGGTCCAATCTTTCGGGCTTAATTCTTTATCAGGGACTAAATGCTCTTCATCTTTTATCACATCCATATTTGAAAACAGGGAGTCAAAATCGTAGATAATTTTCAGTAGAACGATAAAAGTTGATGCGAAGTTCATGTAAACAAATATAGATGTGACATAACAATTTAACCCCTAATGAAGGGCTAACTCAAAAGGTTAAATCGGGAGTAACTATTTATATTTTTATGCTTTGATGTTTGCTAAGAAAGAAGCTTTAATTTGTGTTGAAAAAATGTAAAAGTTTACATCAGGACCCGGGTTTTTTATTTTTAATATTTCAGTGATTATCATGTTAAAAAATATTGACTATGGTAAGGAAATATAAAAAAAACAGGTTTACCATTCAAGAACATCGTTTTTTTTCTCTCCAGATTTTTGTGAGCATTTATCATGTGGTAATTCCTGTTTTGCTGTCTTCTTGGTTACAGTTGATGACGTTTGTATCTTGTTGTAATGTTGAATACTGTTTCTATTTTATTTAGAATCTATTTTGTACTATGATATTGTGGTATACTAGTTTGGATTATCTCCCTTAGAACGAAACTGCCGGAAAGTTATCGTTTAATAGTGCGTGCCTTATCATACTCTTTAATACATATATTCATAACACAGCACTTGATTTGGATACTTGTTGTTAAATCTATCATAAAAAATGTATTTTGTTACAAACCACTGGACATATACAGAAACGGTTAACTATAATATATGTATCACAGAGTAACACTTATCATGTATACATACTCTTAAGTTTATCATAAAACATGGACTTTGCTTCATGCCACTGGACAGTCATACAGGTTTACAGTATAGATATAATACGTAACAACATAGCATGGTAAACCATATACTGGTTTACTTGACTTAGCAGAGTGTCGTTTACGGAACGGAGCGTAGATCAAGATATGTTTTTTGATCAGAATGTATAAACTATAGAGTCTTAAGATTAAGATAATTATATGAAATCAAAAATTTGCACAGCATGATTTAACCCAGTCTTACAATAAAAATTGCCAACTAAATACTCACTTACTAGCCAATATACTCAAGTTTTAAAGAATAGTGTGTGTCTAGTATTTGTAGCATGTGTCGTCTTGTACTTGTAACCTGTACTCCTACAGTTCAAACAAATGTTTGCTAACATCCAGCTTGGTGTCCATTCAAGGTTTATAATGACAATGTGTACTCATCATGTTGGTTTTATCCCACGCCTAAAGTGACATGGGGTCAGCCTATTTTGTTGGTACAATGCTTGTTGCGGTAGTCTGTTTGTTTTTATAACTAAAGTATTTTTTTTAATACTGATATGATCTTAATCTAATCAAGTGGTACACATATCCGAGAACATATTGCTGGTTCAAATGTCCGGGTACATGTTTTCACCGTCGATCAAGAATACATCAACATTAAAAATAAAAAATAAAATACCTCAACAAATGAGAGACATCATGACCGTGATTGTTGTGAAAATAATTAAAATGTTATCTTGATCAAAGTTGTTTTTTGTTATTTCTAATCACACATGTATTATTGTTAATGTTACCAGTATTTACATTTATGGTGTGAGTGATGCCATAACATCAAACATGTTGTCAGCGATGTCGTAAAGTGTTGTCAAATGGTCAATTATGCCATAATACCATACGTGATGTCTTGGATGTCATAATACCAAACGTGATGTTATCGATGTCATTAAATAATTCGTGTTGTCTGTGAGGTCATCATACCATAAGTGTTGTCATTGATGTTATAATACCACACGTTTTGTCAGTGATGTCATAAGAACATACTTGTCAGTGATACACTACGTATTGTCAGTGGTGTCATAATAACATACGTGTTGTCAGTGATGTCACTATATCATACGAGTTGTCAGTGGTGTCATAATACCAAACGTGTTGTCAGTGGTGTCATATTACCATACGTGTTGTCAGTGGTGTCATAATACCAAACGTATTGTCAGTGGTGTCATAATAACATACGTGTTGTCAGTGATGTCATTATATCATACGAGTTGTCAGTGGTGTCATAATACCAAACGTATTGTCAGTGGTGTAATAATACCATACGTGTTGTCAGTGGTGTCATAATACCATACGTAGTGTCAGTGTTGTCATAATACCATACGTATGGTATTATGACGACACTGACAGTGGTGTCATAATACCAAAGATATTCTCAATGGTGTCATAATACCATGCGTATTGTCAGTGGTGTCATTATACCAAACATATTGTCAGTGATGTCATAATACCAAACATATCGTCAGTGGTGTCATAATACTATACGTGTTGTCAGTGGTGGCATAATACCATACGTGTTGACAGTGGTGTCATAATACCACACGTATTGTCAGTGGTGTCGTAATACCAAACGTATTGTCAGTGGGGTCATAATACCATACGTATGGTATTATGACGACACCGACAACACGTATGGTATTATGAGACAATTGACAATACGTATGGTATTATGACGACACTGACAACACGTATTGTATTATTACACCACTGACAATACGTTTTGTATTATGACACCACTGACGATATGTTTGGTATTATGACACCCCTGAAAATACGAATGGGATTATGACCCCACTGACAATACGAATGGTATTATGACACCACTGATAATATGTTTGGTATTATGACACCCCTGAAAATACGAATGGGATTATGACCCCACTGACAATACGTATGGTTTTATGACACCATTGACAATATGTTTGGTCTTATGACACCACTGACAATTCGTTTGGTATTATGACACCCCTGAAAATACGAATGGGATTATGACCCCACTGACAACACGTATGGTACTATTACACCACTGACAATACGATTGGTATTATGACACCACTGATAATATGTTTGGTATTATGACACCCCTGAAAATACGAATGGGATTATGACCCCACTGACAACTCGTATGATATAATTACAGCACTGACAACACGTATGTTATTAGGACACCTCTGACAATACGTTTGGTATTATGATACCACTGACAACACGTATGTTATTAGGACACCTCTGACAATACGTTTGGTATTATGGTATCATTGACAATACGTATGGTATGATGACACCACTGGCAATACGTATGGTATTATGACGACACTGACAGTGGTGTCATAATACCACACGTATTGTCAGTGGTGTCATGATACCAAACATATTGTCAGTGATGTCATAATACCATACGAGTGGTGTCATATTACCATACGTGTTGTCAGTGGGGTCATAATCCCATTCGTATTTTCAGGGGTGTCATAATACCAAACGAATTGTCAGTGGTGTCATAATATCAAACATATTGTCAGTGGTGTAATAGTACCATACGTGTTGTCAGTGGTGGCATAATACCATACGTGTT